AGGATAGAGAGAGAAGATAATCATGGGAAAGAGGGAGAGAAAAGTAAATTAAGTTTACTCTCTATTTATATATATATAGGATAGAGAGAGAGGATAATCATGGGAAAGAGGCAGAGAAAAGTAAATTAAGTTTACTCTATTGGGGAGTGAGATAATATAATATAAGGTGTCATCACCCAAAAAAAAGAGTTACTTATTTTTATGTTTTTGTATGCACGTGGATGGAAAGAGAAAAAATAGATAAACTTGGGAGCGAGGGAAATAAGAGTAAAGTAAGAGTTAGTAAGAGAGAGAGTGTAGAAAGGTGGGAGGAAGAGAGGGATGAGAATAAAATGAAAAAGATACCAGGTAAATAATAAAAAGGTGGTTCTCTCGCTTTACATATTATAGATAATTAGGAGCATAAATAGATTTTGACGCCACTACAGGATTTTCAACACGGGAATTGTATCGCTGGACACATTTTAGATGTATGAATTACTTTGATTATTTAAGGTGGGCACCTTATACAAACCACACCCCTTTTGGTTATATGATAATTTTCAAAGTATGAAATAGATTTTGTAAATATCTGGCTATCTATATATTAATGTAGTCTCTATTTAATATTTGACAAATTTCCAGTAATATCTCTTTTTCTATTTGCAAATGCCTTTTGTATTTTGAATTTGCACCCATGTCACTTTTTTGTAATTTTAAATTTTGTAAAATATCCAGGGTTAAAACTTGGAGTTCTGAACTGAGTCTTTCTACTTCTTTTTTTTCCTCCCGTGGGTTTTTTTCTTTTTTTTTGGTCAAAACACCAAGTTCCAAACTAAATTTTTTTGTAAAATCTTGATCCGAACATGGACGTTCCAATCCGGCACTAAAAATTTGTAAGGTTTCTTTGATGACCGAGTCAAGCCTCCAAATTCCAGCCCAATGCCTTATACAATTTGTTAAAAAAAAAAAAAAAAAAGAATATCCGATCAGTCTTGAATACTTGTTTTTGTAAATAACCAGATTGGATCTCAAATTCCTGACCCGATTTCCTACTCTGTTTCCTTTCTTCTTTTTTTTGTAAAAACAAAAAATGGGATCAAAACATGAAGTTCTTATTAGGTCTTAAAAACCTGTAGTTTTTATTTTTGAATGATCGGATCATAATTTCATATTCTGACCTAATTTCCTTTGAAAAAATTTAGATCAAATCATGAATTTCATATCCAAAAAATGGGAAAAGAAAAGAAATAACCCTAGTTGGAACTTTGAGATCTGGTCTTATTACATACGTTTTCAAAAGTATAAGGGAAATTCATCTAAATAACGTAAAAGTTGAACAAATTAACATATTAGTCTAGGTGTAATTTGATAATTCTCAAAACCCATTTGATGTGTCATTTGATGCGCAATTTGAAACATGATCAAAATAAAGATGGATAGTTGAAATTCGATCTAGATAATATGTTAAAGGATGTAGGTCCTATGAGGCCATAGTGTAATGGAAAATAAGAAAACCTCTACCTTTCAAGAAAATACTTTGGTCATAAGAAATCCCTATGATAGCTCTAAAATCAATGTTCACTAGTGATTAAACAGATCTTGTGTATCCATGAATACTTATTTTCAAGGTAAAATAGACGATCCAGATAATGTCTTACAATATACATTATTTTGAGGGGTTTGAAATTCTAATTTTTTCACAACTATAATGACTAAGGCTAAAATGATCTTTGAAGGTTTTCCGATGCTAGCACAATCTTTGGTGACTTTTGATATAGGACTTGACGTATTATGACAGGGCTGCAGACTTGTCAAAACATTTTTCTATATTAAATTTCCCAATTGTTAATTGCAGTCTAATAAATTTCTTAAACTATAATACAATCCATATACTCATTATATCAACAACGTCAAAGAGTATCGGCAGTTGTCACATGGATTAGTGTTTTCATATGTGAAGCCTACTCACCGATCATAGTCCACCTCATTCATGGAATGGTGAGAACTTCATTGTCATAAATTATCGTAATCGTATGAATCGTGTTAAAAAAGATTTGTATACAATGAGACTATTTACCTTTGGTACGAGGAAATCATAATTATTTATGACCATCCGATATGTAATTAGATATCTTGAATATGCCACAAACTTTCAAAAAAATTATTTTGAACTTTGAGTTTAGTCGATAGAATAATTGCAGCTACCCAATTTCATATCGAATGGTTAAAGATTAATCATGACCACCTTATACAAAAGTAAATAGTCTTATCATATGTTTTTCCTATTAAAAAAATCCTCCCTTCAAAATGCCAGCACAACATGGGCGGGTCCATGGGTTTCAAATTGAGGGTTTGGGCCGCATGTCATCTTGGGGGTTGAGCCAAGCATGGTAGGTCAGAAATACTTTCGAGGTGTGCCCTACCCAAAAATTTATAAAGTTTACATTAAATTTTAAAAGTAATGATCCTATGAGACCCTTCTACACCCATGTATGTAGGATCCCAAAAGATCACCATTACATTTGTTACGGATCTTTGAAAAAATCAAGTCTCACATCCATGTGATAAATTTTTTAGAGATCTGTGCTAAATTTAATAGTGATCATTTGAAGTCTTACACATAGGTGTGTGACGGTCTCATATGATCATTACTCAAATTTTAAATATAATTTTTATATGTATATAAGGGTGACCTGAATTTTTTGGTTCCAGCTAGGCTCGAACCTTGTTGTCTTGAGCACAAGGGGCCAAGCCATACCTGAAACTAAAATTTTCTAGCTCACAGGGCCGTGCCCTAAAGACCCGATCCAACCCCAAACCGACCCAGCTTGTAAATGAAAGGGAAGTAGAAAAAAGGCATAGAATCCCAACATGGCGCATGCCTTTGTGTCAAAAAGTCTAATTCAGCGATGTATGGCTGAGATTTACTGTAGATGATTAGACGTGAGAAACCTTATCATTGGAGAGAGTTTTCTCACTAGAGAATGGGAGTGATATTTTTTCTGAAGCAAAGGGAGAGAGAGTGGGTGTGAATATTTTTTCTCAGGAGAAGTAGGACCCGTTTCTTCCCTTGCCCTGCCAAAAAAAAAGCATATCAATGAACTAATTAAAGTAAAATTGACGATGAGTTTATCAGTGACGCAGAATAAGAATCTCAATTACCTCAGAAAAAACCTTCTCTCCATCGTTTATCAAAAAAGAGGGACAGAGAAGAAGAAGAAGAAGAATTCACAGTCCCAATAAGCTCCAACAATGGCTTCTGCAGTTGCAAATGGGGTATCTCTTCTTCATTCACAGGCATACCTTGAGAGCAAAGTGGTGAATGAGACTAAGGCTTTGGTCTCTGATCTCTGTAAGCAATTCTACACCCTTGGATGGGTCTCGGGGACGGGTGGAAGCATCACAATCAAGGTCCATGACTCTGCTGTCCCGAAACCCCAACAATTGATAGTCATGTCCCCTTCAGGTATTCTTTATAGCATCATTTATCGTTTTCTTTTGATGGGTTCTTGGTTTAGTTTCATGATTTTGTTTCTGCATCTTTTTCGATCTTTTTAGTTGGTTTAATGGAAATAAAATGCATGCATGTATATATGATGGATTCTGATGTTTCACTGAGAAATTAATATTACTGAGTTTGGAAGTTGTTATTTTCTTTTATATAGGAATCCTGGGTTTTCTGTTTCAAACTTCAGGTCAAGTTTGTTGCTTCTATCATTAGATGTTTTTTGTTTTTCAGAAAAACAGTCACCATTTGATCAACCCCAATTCCTAAGATGATGGAGCTTGGAAACCTTTACAAAATGAGTTTATTATTATTATTATTATTATTATTATTATTATTATTATTATTATTATTATTATTATTATTATTATTATGATTATTATTATTATTATTATTATTATTCTGGCAATCCAGTTTCTAGGACCATTGATCATGGATTTCTTGAGTAGAGGTTTTATTTATTGGGTTTTATGGGTTATTAGGAGTTCAGAAAGAGAGAATGGTACCTGAAGATATGTATGTCTTGTCTGTGGATGGGGATGTATTAGCAGCTCCCTCTCCAAAGCCCTTTCCCCATAAGGCCCCTAAGTGTAGCGACTGTGGCCCTCTTTTTATGAAGGTATGCTAATTTCACTCGACGTTCTCTTCATTACTTCATTTTTATTTGACATTTTGGTTTTTTGCTATTACTGTTAGGTTTTATAAGCTGCTTCTTTTTGTGTTCTGTATTTGTTTTTCTGATGGTGTTGTAGTTACCACTTGCTTTGAAAAATGATGGTATTCCTCTTATTGCTTTGTCTTGTATCAAAAGGAACTGCTTAAAAATGTAGAGAAGGAAAACAAAGACAAAAAGGAGGATTTATTTAATTTGGCTGCATTGTCTAAGATACATAGCATTGGCTTACTTTGTTATTGGTTGGTATAGGCATATAAAATGCGTAATGCTGGTGCTGTTATTCATAGCCATGGGATGGAGTCGTGTCTTGTAACTATGATCCACCCGCAATCAAAAGAGTTCAGGGTAATCATCACTTTTTCTCCTGTCTGAATTTTCTTGGTCGTTTTTTATCAAGAGAAAATTTATGTTATATTTGAGTTCCCTTCTATTTACTTATGTGAATTTGTTGTTCCTTTTCTCCGTTAGATAACTCATATGGAAATGATTAAAGGAATTCAAGGGCATGGTTATTATGATGAGCTTGTTGTCCCTATAATTGAGAACACAGCTCAAGAGTCTGAGCTGACTGAATCTCTTAGTGAAGCTGTAAGTTATTTTTTGACTTCTGTTGACTTGATCCAAAGTTAATGGATTCCAGTGTTTAAGTATGAATGAGATTTGCATTTTGTCCATTTTCAACTTATATGGAGTGGAAGGCTGTCATAGCTTCGTCAGGAGTCTGTGGCTACAATGAGACATCATATTGACATTTCTAATTATATGTTATTGCCGATCTTTTCCACTAAGTTGCATGGATTGGTTTATTGTTTGGACTTTCACTTTTGACGCAATATTGCTGTTTGGTCTAGAAATACTCTATATGATCTTATTGTTTCTTTAAATTGTTCATATTATGAAGTTTTCATTAACTTATTAACTACTATTTTGCCTATTATGTGTTACAGATCACAGCATACCCAAAATCAACAGCCGTGCTTGTCCGCAACCATGGAATCTATGTATGGGGAGACTCATGGATTAGTGCTAAGACTCAGGTCCACTCTATCTTGGGGAGATTCTTGAGATGCATTTTCATCATGAAGTTTGGAAACTTTATTGTTGTGTTTTATGTAAATTGCATGCTTATAAAATTGAAGATTTGATGTATAATGACATTTTAATTCAATGCTATTTAATACATGAATTTTTTATATTGTTGTTAGTGGAACAAATGGAATTATTAGAAAAAACGGTAGTGATTCATAAATTTTAAGTTGTGGTCTTGGTGTGAAATTGATGTTGGACTTAAGGAATGTGTTTTTGGAAAATTTTTGTTGTCATCATAGTCTATGTGATTACACTGTTCTGTATAATCAGCAAGTTAATTAGATTCAAAATTTCAAAATTTTCTCTTAAGTTAACAGTATAGCATTCAACATGAGAACTATTAGCATCTTTCCCCTTGTTCCATACAATCAATGAACCAATGAAGTCTGAAGCAAGTAATTGTTGATTATTATTGGAATTGGTCCAATCTATAAATTACTTGATTTCCAAGTCCCTGAAGCCTATGAGGGTTGCATTTTGTCTTCTCTTATGACCATTTTGTGAAGGTTTTGTAGAACACGTAGTTATTATTGCAAGATTGTTGAGTTTGTCTTGAAAAGAATGTGAGACCTTGTCCCCATTTAATGAGTTATTGTTTCAAGTTGCATAATTTGTGTTTGTGCTCGTTTTTGTTCTTTTCTTTTTGAATGTTAACTTACTTCATATATTCAAAAGTGATTACAAGTATGTCATACATAATTGAGTCAAGTGATTCTAAACTTCATAAAAATGTACTTCTATTGCCGAGTTGTGAATGAGATGGTGGATTCTCATGTTTGTATTTCTTCAATTGAGCACAGATGGAAGTGGGATGTATCGTGTGCAGTAGTCAGGTTTCGAGAATATGAATTACAGTTCATTCAAACATAGCCACCTGTTGTGTCTGACCTACAGTTCTTATATAGGTTTATTCAAGTCTGTCCTCGATACAATTGTATTGCAGATGTCATAATCAGTAGAGTCTCTTGAGTTTTTGAGGTTATTATATAATTGATCATGCACACGATTTGCTTTTCTTTGGGAGTTTCCTGCGTTTCCCATTCCTTGTTTGGTTCTATCAAAATGGCTCAAAGTCCTTGTGTTTTCTCAACTTAGCTTGAAGTCTAATTGCAGGCAGAATGTTATCACTATCTTTTCGATGCTGCTATCAAGTTGAATCAGTTGGGTCTGGACTGGTCCAGTCCAAGCCATGGGCTTCTTGCGAATGGCATAACACTAGGCGGTGGCTGGAAAAGAGATATAGATGGGAAGGTGAAATCGTCCATTCAAAATTTAGATGACTCATCTGGCCCATCTAGGGTAGGCCCTTTGCTCCTACAAGGATGACTCGAAAGGGGAAGCATCTATAAATGAATGAACTACGGTAAACACATGTTCCATTGGGTCATCACCTTCCATTAAAATGATGGACATGGATGGAGAGTTACCAACAAAACTAGACATGATCCCAATCATGGGTTTCATTCTCTGTCTCCATTACTATCTATCATTTTAGTGGATGGTATTGGCCTAATGGATTATGGTTTTCCTGTAGTTGATTGGATTGCATTAGACTTTCCCTTATAGAAATAAGCATTTTTTTGGGAGGGTACTTTTGCCATTCCATACTCTTCTGATTTGGTTTTTGTTTTGCATGAAAATATACGCTTTGGTCTTTGAAATAGTTTACTGAAATTTTGGCAGCAATGTATCCTGCTTGACATTGAAGGTACGACAACGCCGATATCATTTGTCACTGATGTTTTATTCCCCTATGCCCGTGACAATGTGAGGAACGACTTAATTTCGACATATGACTCTGAGGAAACTCAAGAGGATATCAAATTATTGCGTGCTCAAGTAAGCATTTTATGTAATTTTCTTTTTAATGTCATTGTTTTTGTTTCAAATGGAATGAAGTGATTTACTTATGACACAAGACAATGCAAATTTGATTTGCTGTAAATCATAGTTATATGCTCTTTATTTATTTTGTTGATCGTGGTCATAACCATGTGCTCTTTATGTATACAGATTGCCCATGTTGGAGTTTGTATGTATGTATGATATATTCTCATGAAAACATTTATATGAAATGATGAATATATATATTTCGCGGGCAGATTCGACCACTGACTATTTCATCTATCCATCCATTGTTTTTTTTATACCACCAAAACATAGGTGGCAATGCTGTGCCTCTGTGGTCTTGGCCATCCGCAATCTTAAGTGGATGATTTCTAAGTTTTAATAACCTTCTGCTTGGCCGCCACTAATGAACATGTAGACATACGTCTAATAGTATGCCTTATGGAAAAATTAATTTCGGGTTGTTTTATTTAATGAATGCTAATATATATATTTGTATTAATTTCAAGGCATATTCAAGCATTGCTTTTGTGATTTTCTGTTCTGCTTACATGTTGAAAGAAACTCTAGTACTTCGACAGGTTGTAGAGTACAGCTGACATATCTATGCCTCTGATGCTTTTTTTTTTTGGGATAAATATTATATGGTTTATTCCTTTTGTCAAAATTATTTTCAGGTAACTACTATAACTATAAAACTGGAAGTTTGGATAGAAAGTTGTGGACTTTATATAGTATAAGCATTCATAGTACTCGAATTGCAAAATAAAACATGAGCAACCTATAACAGAAATAGGAGCAGAGATCTTCAATTGCTTTTACTTATCGCAACATAGTAGTCTCTCTTATAAAAAATACTTCTAAGTTTTGTGCTTAGCTTCTAGTATGATGTTTTGGATGTGACCTTTCCAAAGAATACAAATAAAAATGCGGTTTTTGAGTTTGTTTGCAGATATTAAGACCCTACTGAGTTTTTGGGGTTACATGATAATTATATCTTTTTGTTTATCACTCTTATGGCCATCCCGGCTATATTGGATTGTTACCTTTTCCTTTTTTGTGTTAGTGCCTGACTTATGATATCAATACTTGTCCATGCAATTAGATGGTTGGCTCATATAAATATGCTCCAGGTTCTTGAAGATTTAAAGGAAGGAGTTGTTGGTGCTCGACCTATTCCTCCTGAAGACACAGGAAAAGACGAGGTGATTGCTGCCTTGGTAGCCAATGTGGAAGCAATGATAAAAGCTGATAGAAAAATTACAGCCTTGAAACAATTGCAGGTATTTAAACTTCATAACTCTTGGTTGACACTTAGTTCTATTACCATCAGAAAAACAGTTGGTTATATTTTATCTGTCTATTGTTTCTTCCTATGCAATATCTCAACTTCACTAGTCTGGGTTTACAGTTCAGTTCTATGACCATCAAAAGAACACTTAGTTCTATTGTATCTAACTATTTATGATTTCCTACAGAACATTTGAACTTCACAATTCTTGGTTAATGGATCTCTTGTATCTATCATTTCTTCCATAATTTTATAACTCTGTTTTCAGGGTCACATATGGAGAACTGGTTACGAGAAGAATGAATTGCAAGGAGTAGTATTTGATGATGTTCCTAAAGCTCTTGCAAAGTGGCACGATCTGGGAATCAAGGTCACCAATTTTTACAGGATTTTTGGTTATTCCTCAAATCTTTTTATAGTAGTACTGTTTATTGATAAGAACAAACATAAAAAATAAATTAAAGTTGAAAAGAATTCCTGAATTTTAGTAATTATTTTCCCTTGATGAATATAAAACTATTTTTTTAAGGAAGCATTGCTTCTTCTTTTCTTCTCATAGTTACTGATTAATTTTTTTGGATTATTTTATCCTGACCAAGAGAATGGCAAAAGGTTGTTCACTGACCAAACTGATTGAACTGGGTGTTTATATTTGGACTATTTGACACTTTGAAAGCATTATTTCTCATGATGAGGGACATAGCAATGTTCTATAAAGTATTCTTCTATAATATGGATACAAAATATTGTATTTTATATGCACTGTGTACAAAATATTGTATTTTATATGCACTTTAATTAAATGGTATAGAGTATTCTTCTATAATATGGATAGAAAATACATAAATAACTAAACTACGGTCTTTTATGTTGTTTAAGTGTGCTGTAGTGTAGAGCCTATATACTATGCATTGTCTATATCCTTGGGAGAAAAATGAGAATTCTTGCAATTTTGATTTCCTTTCCAAACTTTTAATGAAATTTAAATGCTTGGATTTTGTTACTTGAATGACAAATTACTATTGATTAAGAAAGAAATTTTCTTATGAAACTAGTTGAGAAATCTACCGAGCACTGAAAATTTACATGCTTCCGTTTGCTTCTTCTTTCAGGTGTATATATACTCCAGCGGTAGTCGGGAGGCTCAAAGGCTTATATTTGGGAATACAAAATTCGGAGACTTGAGAACATATCTTTGTGGATTCTTTGACACAATGGTTGGGTGGGTTTTCATAACTTTGGTAATCAATGGCTTGGTTGAGTTGCGGGGAACTGCTTTGGATGCTTCCCTTGAGAAGGGAAATGTACCATACACCAATGGTGTATGATATATGGTATTACAAAGGAAACCCGCCATCCATTCTTGATGATGAATGGGTATAGATTTACTTTATTGTGGTCAATGTCCCTGTGCTGGGCTCCACTCCAGTTATTCCTAATGATCATTGGGGAATGAGGGTGGCTTCTCACACTGATGACATACGGTGCATGGTAGACTATAACATGTACTGTATGCCATTATTGTATGGTATATTTTCCCTAACGAGAATGCCTTTGTTTTCAAAGTTGTACCACACTTTGCCAGTGGTTTCAGTAGTATAATTATGAAGATACCAGTTGATTTAATGTCATTTTAATTGCAGAAACAAGAGAGAGAGTAGAAGTTATTCGGAGATCTATCAGTCCCTTGGAGTGGACAAGCCATCCCAAATCTTGTTTTTGACTGACGTATATCAAGAAGCTGTCGCAGCAAAAGCAGCAGGTAGAGGTGTTTTTGGCGGATGTGATCAATCCGTATTTCTGTTAATGTATTTGTATTTGCCATAATGTTGCTTTTAATATATTAAAGTTTGTGGAAATATTAAGTGAACATTCTTTAAAAAAAAGTTGGTGGAAATATTAAGCCCTAAATGGTTAAACCCTAAATACGGATTCCATCGTCCTTTCCCAATGATGGACAGTGGGAGATTTGCCAATTACCAGATAGATGAATATGTCTATGATTGAGGGCCACAGTTAATCTCCACTATCCATCATCAGGAATGGATGATAGATGTTGCAATGATGTATCATGTCCCACACACCAGAGGGATAAGGTGTAATTCAAACTCAAGTATGGAGCTTAGAGACCTATTTTTTTGCTAGTCTCTTTGACTGCAGTATGAATTTTATATTTATAAATTGTTGTTGCTATCATGTTTCAGGTCTGGAGGTTATCATTTCTGTGCGTCCTGGAAATGCTCCTCTTCCTGAAAATCATGGATTCAAAACAATTACTTCATTCTCTGAAATATGAGTATCTGCTTTGAGGTAGTAAACATGATGAGCTTGCTGATTTAGGTTCTCAAGTTGTGATACTGTTGTTAAACTATGCGAATTATAGAAATTTTGGGATGCATTACCCCAAGTTTATGACATAAATAAGATATAGTGGTTGAGAGTTTCAAGTTACTGCCCCAAACAAAGTGCCTCACACTGACAAGAAAAAGAGGGAGAAGAGTCTGAGTCGATGGAAAATGTGATTTGTTAAAAAGGCCGTGCTACCATACTCTTTATGAGCATGTGCAGTAATCCGAACTCCCACCCAACCATTGGATGAGAGAGGGGATAAGATTGCCTAATGCGTCTGGTAGCTTGGTAATCCCCTTCTAATTTATTTTATACTAGGGTTTCGAAACACAGATTGGCTGTGGATTGGGCCTCCACCGGACGGACTCAGATGGACCAAATTGGCGATTCAACAAAGCATTTGAAAAAAAAAAAAAAAGGAGAGGCAAAAAAAAATGTTATAGATCCATATTTCCTATGTTTGGTTAAAGATTTAAATTTTAACATAAAAAAAGGATTATAGGCTAGATTAGTCATGGGATCAGCTCCGTCACCCTCTGATCTCAATTGGAATGGCGATTTTCAATTCAGATTGGCAAATTTTTAAACCTTGTTTTATTGTTTAGAAACTTTTGCCTCCATCTCAGTACGCACTCTCTCTCTCTCCCCTGTTCTTTCCCCAAAACTTCCCTTTCCCACTCTTACCACCAAAAATTTTTGCCTGCTGCGCTCTCTTTTCCCGTTCCCAGGCCCTACTCTCTCTCATCATGGCCTCCGGGCCCTATCCCTTTTTCTCTGATGCTGCGCCCCCCCTTTCTCTCTGTGCATGTGGCAAATAATCCAAGGTAGAAGAAAGCACTATGAAAGTCCCTCTTTCTGAACTGAGTTTGCAAATAATACAGGCCCTTAATAGAAGATCATAAGGTAGAAGAAAGCACTATGAAAGTCCCTCTTTCTATATTGAGTTTGCAAATATGGGCAAGTTTTATATGCTTACACTACAGCATAAAAGTTCTATCTTCCCCTTCCCTCCATTTTGAATGGAGGGTTAAGATTGCCTCAATCACAATATCACGTTTTTACACTATTTTATTTTTAATTTTTTTCTATAAACTATTTTGACACCAAATTTTGGATGTTTATTCTTCTATTAAACTCGCACTAACGAAAAATATAAAAAAAAATATTTTCAATAAAATAAAATAACCAAAACACCCCTGAAAGTTTTAAGGAGTATTTGATCATTATATTTTATCGAAAAATTATTTTTTATAGGTGTGCCCCAATGAGAAGATGACACGTACCAAATTTCATATTCATACAATTTGTATAAAAAAACTAAAAATAAAATACTTTGAGACGTCGGATCTAAAATCAAACGATGATTGGCTCTCTTGATCAAAATTGAATGGCTAGATGGTAGGAGGATAGAACCTCTATGCTGTAGGGGAAGCATAGAAACCTTTCCCCGCAAATATCATGAAGAGTCTTTGTCGCCCATGAAGTAACATACTATAATAATAAAGGGTAAAGAAGCTAGTAAGAGTAAATGGTTAAGAAATCAAGATTAAAACTTGTAAGTTCCCAAGTAAAGGCATCCTTGGCATCCTTTTTATTTGAAGGAAATGTATATAACGAGATCATTGTAATATAAGAAGGTTAGAATTATTATTGGCCACTGGATGTGAAATCGGGTGGTTGAGGATGTGTCACTGATTGATCACAAAGTCTAAAATAAAATTTCTTGAATATTACACATTCAATAACTAAAAACAATTGTAACTTCCATGTATCAAAAGTAAATAGTCTCATAATATACACCCCTTCATTGCTATTCTAATGATAATAAAAACCGAAGACGCAAGAAAACAAGAGAACCATGATTTGCAAAACTAATCCACTTGGGAAATCATACACGGAAGAAAATATAGGAACACCACGTTCTCAACACTTCTTACTAATGTTTCAAGGCGAAACAAGAGCCAACATAAAATCACAAGATGTGATACAACACCAACATGCACTATGAAACACATCACTTGCAGTGTTTTAGTTTTCCCTCTCTTACCCTTTAGAGTGACCGGGCGACGTTCTTGAATTCATTCAAGCAAGATTGCAATATCTTCTGTCGCCTATGAAGAGACTGTCTCTCGTTATGAAGCATGTCGACGGCACCGGGCGCCACAAACATGTCCATGAATTTGTCATCGGTCACTGCAAATAAATCCAAGCCAAGTGCCACGACCAGCCTATCTCGACTATCCCACCATGAAACAACACAATCAGAATCTCTGTAATCCTCAAAAAACAGAGATCCAAACGCTACAAATTCATGTTCATGAAGATCACAATCATATCCAAGTGAGACTCATCTGACATTCTTATTTGTGCAACATAACACTGAGAAAATATTGAGAGAGAGAGAGGTGGATATTCTGTAAGGGTCACTAAATCGCTCTCCTACCTTAAAGTTATGGAGCTAGAGAGGGTATTTCATTGCAAGGTTTCAAAAGCCATTAAAATATCCTTATAAAGAGCGAGCATTATTACGTGAGACGACCATCAGATGTTGCAACAGATAGCCAAATAAGATGTGATATTTGAAAATAACAGCCGCTATACCCGTTGTAACAGCAACTAAAGTAGAACGGTACTTGGGTCACAATGGTTTTTTTAAGCCTTTATCTTGGTTCTAAAACTCAGGACGCAGACTTGAATTGGCTTGGTCCATCCAACTCAACGACCCAGACTTGACTCGGCTTGGCCTTCCTAATATTTTCTCGGTGTGTATCAAGGTGTGCACATGGAAAGATAATGAAAATAGCAGTTAACAGGGGATTGTCCTTCATTTACCAAATAGTATATATATTGTATTGTACAGAAGAAAACACTAAAGGCGAACTGCAGTGATTTTTTTTTTCTTTTTGTTAAAGCCATAAGTAATATCGTACTAAAACAAATACGGTTAGTGTAAACATGCAATAATGGACACTTTAATGATTAAAAATTTGGATTCACCATGCCAAAATATAGACACTGATAATTATGGGCAACAAGCACTATAAGGAACTAATATTAAAGAACCTAAGGAGAAAATGTGTGGGTTATAGGGGTTGAGGGAATGTTCTGGTTCACCCTCTCACATATCAGGTCAAGCTGGGCTATTCCAGGTTGAGCCAGTGAGTTTCCAGACCATGTCTTGTGTTTTATCATGCAAACGGGGGGATGTTAAGATTCTAATTATGAAAAATGCAAAAAATGAGGGTGTAGCAGTTAAAACTACCAATAAAATCAACCTACACAATTATTCAACAGAAAAACAGGAAACTTACCAAGGTGTGAGAAACCCGGAATTCAAAGCTGAAGGCACACTTCGCTCAATGAGGACTTCCCGAATCCTAGCAAAATGCTGAGCAGCCGAAGAACACACTTCAGAGTAAGCTGATCCTGATCTCAAGTTCACATCCCCACTGTACTGAAAACCAAAACTCTGGTTTCTATGGTTTCGAGTCTGTCTCTTTCTAGCCCCCATATCCACTGCCATCCTCCCATTTTCCTTCTTTCTTGCCCCATCAACTGGTTGATCAGGAGATGGGGTCTCAGGAATGGTTATTTGGCTCTCTTTCAATGCTTCTCTTGCTTCTATTCCTTTGCCTGGTGTCCTTTGTTCCATTGACTTTGGAGGGACATTCTCTTGATCCTCATCCATGGCGTCTTCTTCTACTGTAGATACCCCTTCTGATAGTTCAAGAAAGAAAGAAGTTGAAGAAGGCTGGTTATATCTGTACATCAAGTCGTTTTCAAGGCACACTTGAGAGTATGGGCTTGTAACCGAGTCTAGGTGGTGTCGAACAAGTTGCTTGCATTGCTTTGCTAAATCCTGTATGAAGTGGTTATATGAATGCCTTAATGCAGCATGAAATCCTATATAGCCTTCCATGCTTCCATTCTTTCTCCCCTCTGTTGCACACAAGAAAAGCATGCATTCTGCTCTTAGCTAAACAATCTTGAGTTGGAGGGATCATAATTGTAGATAAACTTGACTTCTTTGAAGGATCATAGAATAAAACAAAAAAGGGACTGCATAAAGAAACGTGTATTGGATCCAAAAGTTCCTACATCTGAGGATTTGAAGTAGATAGTGGATAGTGAAAAGAAAAACAACCTTGCAAAAAATTTGCTTGAGATTTGTTATAAAAAGAGAGCATTCACTATATTAAAATAGATAATAAGATGGATGTATATGGGACACTTTAGAACAAAATTTTGTGCGCCATCATAATGAACTCAATGCGATAAAATGTATTGGTAGTCAACCACTAATGAACTAAATGTGGCAAAACGTACTGGGAGTCAACCTCTGGAATTTGAAAAGAATTCGAAAACAATCAAAGTCATACTTAAAGATTCACAGAAGGCAGAAAATGCAGGAATAGTGGGTCCCCAATCAATAATAAATAATAGAATAAAATGAGAATAGATATAAATTGGGGTACCATAATCTTGTGGCACAAAGCCATGTTTCTACCATGATATTTAGGTTTGGTTCATTGCCAATGGAATCATAGCTCATAACAAGACTGACAAAATTCGTACACCATAATCCAATGGAGCATGGAAAAATCACTGTACAATTGGATCATCATTGCCTAATAAAATGATGGATGGTATAGGAGAGAGGGACCAACCACTGGGACCCAAGTCTTATCATGACCTTTCCCATTCTCTCTATCATCTACATTGTTTCATCGGATGGGGGTGACCCCAATCGACCAAAGGTTTCCATAGTCCATAAAACAACTTAGTACACTTTGGCAAAAGAAAAAATAGGGGTATTTGAATCGCACCATCTGACAAATCATGGATGCGATTTCTCTCTGCCGCAAGATCGAAAAGATTTCTCAGAACAAAAGCAAGACGATCACAAGCAGTGTCAAGTAGAGGAGCCAGCCATGACCTTGCTGCTGCACGTGCGATCCCTGCCGCAGCAGCTGTTACACCCCCACCACCCCCTCTACCAGCATGAGCAAGCAAAATATTTGCAACCTAACAAACACATCATTGCATCACTAACACTTCAAAACAATTGTTCTTAAACAAAAAAGAAAGGAAACATCTTTCTCTCTTTGTTAATTAAAAGGTCGAAAAAAGAAGAAGAAGAAAAACAAGAACTTCTGCATTTGGGAAAGCATAGCACATTGCGATGGACTGTGGTAAACCCTCGTAGTCCATTGGGTAAACAACATCCAAGGAAATAATTGATGGTGATGGAGCTAGTGGGACCCATCAGAACAGGAAATGCCCAAATATGGATCCCACTCTCATCAGCATGCTCGTTCCATTGGATGGTGATAACCTCAATGGACATTCCTTTTGTAAATCTCATCGATTAATAGTACCCTTCTCCCATAAAGAATGACTATTAATATCCTATATCTGGAAGCAATTAATATGAAAGATCAATAGCCTGCAATGTAAGATAAATAAAGATAAGTATTCAACGCATGAGAATAAACGAAAAGAAATTGCACAATGAAATATGTACCTTCTCTCTCGACACGGGGGGGCATTCAATAGAGTAAGTAGCACAGCGAAACTCATGCATTACCCTCTCAAATGCTGCACCACCATAAAGTTTAAGAACTGAATTGGAAGGCTTTATGTCTGCAGTCACACTAGGCCAACTTCCAATACCACTCTCTGATCGTTCCTCATCTGTTGTCTTGCCCCATTCTTCTGGTGGAGGGTCAGCTGCCCCATCAATTAGAGCTCCCTAAAAGATCCACGAATAAGAAAAAATAAGATAAATGTATAAATGCAATATGAAGAGTAGATTAAAGCTTGATGTAATATGAATAGTTGGCCCCATCAATTAGAGCTCCCTAAAAGATCCACGAATAAGAAAAAATAAGATAAATGTATAAATGCAATATGAAGAGTAGATTAAAGCTTGATGTAATATGAAGAGTTGGCCCCATCAATTAGAGCTCCCTAAAAGATCCACGAATAAGAAAAAATAAGATAAATGTATAAATGCAATATGAAGAGTAGATTAAATCTTGATGTAATATGAAGAGTTGACCCCAAAGCGATCAATTAGAGCTCCCGAAAAGATCCATGAATAAGAAAAATAAGATAAATGTATAAATGCAATATGAAGAGTAGATTAAAGCTTGATCTAATATGAAGAGTTGGCCCCAAAGAAGAAGAATTGTGATGTAATCTGATCTTGTATTGGGGAACATAGTGCAAATCGAACAGTGCGCTACGGTGCACATTCCCCAAAACACATGTGCACGAAGCACTACATAAGTGCACTTAGTACTCAGTCTTGTGTACTGTACACCATGCACAATACAAATCACTCAATGTGCAGTATTGATGTGCAAAGTATAGGCATGTTGCCTGCACTTATGTAGTGCTTCATGCACATGTGTTTTGAGGAACGTAGTGCAAATCACATGGTGTGAGAGAGAGAGAGAGAGAGAGAGAGAGAGAGAGAGAGAGGAGGAGGAGGAGGAGGAGGAGGAGGAGGAGGAAGGAGGTAGTAGTACGACTAACTACTCGTCGATAGTAGAGGAGTAGGAGCTACTAACTAACCGTAACGTAAAGTAAAAACGTATAGTACTTACTTTA